TCAGTTAATTAATTTAAAACTGTGATATGTGAGTCTAAAATATGCAAAGTAATTTCAAAAGACCCTAACTGAATGTAATTTATCTTGTTAATTACTCAATGTGTAACTGCACAGAATATTTGTATGTCCTTCTTGTGGACCTGTTTTTAAATTTACGAGCATTATAATGCCTTGTTAATTTCTGCGGTTTTGCATTTATAGTGTTTTGATTCAAATTAATTTAATCAGTATGGGTCCGACTCTCTGAGAATTGCTATTAGATGATTTAGCCAATTTGTAAACAAAATTAGCCGGATCCCACCCAGGGATCAAGGAGTGCATGCAAATTTACTTTCCTCTAAGAATTTACAGTTCAGATGTGTCTTCTTTTGAGACAGACTTGATAGAAAGTTGCTTAACCTGTATTTGCTAATCAGGAATTAATTGGTTATTGCCATGCTATTTGTTTATCTGTTTTTTTATGTAATTTGATATTCAGCAAAATTATATTCCAGTTCACTAATGTCCCAGTCCACATGGAACTACTATGGTTATCTTGATTTAGCTTTCTACAGATTTGTTATTTACAATCAATGAAAACAATGTGGAAAAAGTTTGAACCTTCTAAGAACTATGAGAAGTCATGCTTCTCGTGTGTTATTATTTCCAATGGATTGTTGTTGCTTAAGCACTTTAAATGCACCACAGATGGGTTTAATGTATAAATAAACGGATGGATCGATGAGATGGTGGGTTTATTAATGTTTTAATGGATAGATGAATCTCCATTACCATTATCTTCAGTGCACAAATGCTGCTTGATGTTCCTGAAGAACTTTTCTTGTTGCTCGGATATTTTGTTCAGATAAGCTATCTGATGTTTTTCCACATGCTGCAATGTTTTCTTTTGTTTTCAGACAATCCCAGTCTTCAGAGCCACGTGCCCGTTACAGTGCAGGTCCTGGATGTGAACGACAATCCTCCAGTGATCAACACAGAAGACGAGATCATCATCTGTGAAAGCACCAGGGCAGGACAGGCAAGTCCCACAACAGTCGAACTGTTTCTCTGTCTCACATTCTCTCTGACACCTTCATTCCCTGGCAGAGAAGGTGAGGGAGGCCGAACAGAACCTAACAGCTAAAGTACAGAAACTAACTGCTGTTTTAATCAGTTTACTTACTAATGCATAATTCATATGCATGTAATGCATAAATATGTATTTTTGTGATTAAAAATGCAAGCAGTTACTGTATTAACAAATGATAAGTTGGTCATCTGAAAGATTATAATATGGGTTTGATCGATATGGATTTACATATCAGCCTGCACTGAAAATTCCCTTACAAACCACCATAGTTCCCTGCCATGAATGGTGTAGAGAAAAAAGCGTGAATATTTAGAGGGGCTGAAATAGAAAAATGGAAGGGGGTTATAGGAATGCTAATCATCTCTCAATGAGAATAAAAAATCTGATCAACAAAGCGTGACAGCTCTGACTCACTAAAGCACACTCCTATTTTCCTACCCACACTTTTCCATTTAATTTTGAAATGCTGTTTTTCACCAGCAGCCCAAAGAAAGAGTTGGATGAGAGCGAGAGAAAATGAAGGACAGATGAGGTTAAGCCTATTTTAATATCCCCTGTGTTCCCAACATAAAACAGTACATCCAATTCCAGAAATTATCCACACTACATTACGGGAGTAGCACATTAAAGTGCTTCTGTGCACTTTTCATGTGTTTTAAGTGGAATGTGTACTTTCTGCACCACTAGAATCATCAAACTGACTTAAAAAATAAAGACCATTTTCAAACAGGTGTTGCAAACTCCTCCCCCTGCCTGCCATTGGTTGAAAAAACAAATGGTCCCGCCCCCAGAGTCACATCATTTGTTGACCTGGTGGTGGTGAGTGGGCTGGTTGAAGATGAGCCTGGTTCAAAGAAACAGAGAAATGTTTTGACAGCACCAGTTTAGACACTGTAAAATCAGCCTACAGATGTTTACTTACAGTTGATTGCATTTAAGATGGAATAAGAGAAAGTATTTTAACATAACAGTTTTAACTGTTCTTTGTAAGTTTGGTTTGATAAAGAAGGGAGAATTTAGGACTTAAGTTTATAAGTTTGCTCAGATGTTAAAGCTGAAGTGTGTGCAAGTATATGTTCACATGTTCCTTCAGAAATCATTCTAATATGCTGATTTGCTGCATGCTTATTATCAGTTACACACCAGCAAGTCCACCTCTGAATGGCTCAAGAAAAACAAAATGAAGGTTTTTGAGTGGCCAAGTCAAAGTCCGGACTTAAATCCGATTTAGATGTTTTGGCATGACCTTAAACAGTCCATTCATGCTCAAAAACCCTCCAATGTGGCTGAATTAAAACAATTCTGCAAAGAAGAGTGAGCCAAAATTCCTCCACAGTGATGTGAGACTCATTCCCAGTTATCGCAAGCGTTTGCTTACAGTTGTTGCTGCAAAGGGTGACACAACCAGTTATTAGATTTAGGGGGCAATTACTTTTTCACATAGTGCCAGGCAGGTTTGGACAGCTTTTTTTCCTTAATAAATGAAATCATCATTTAAAAACTGCATTTTGTATTTACTTGCATTATCTTTGTGTAATATAAAAATTTGCTTGTTGATCTGAATCTATTAAGTGTGACAAATATGCCAAAAAAAAAAAAAAAAACAGGAAGGGGGCAAAAACCTTTTCACGGCACTGTATATTATATTATATTATATTATATTATATTATGTTTGTTTCCAGACTAATTGCAGACTAAGTGTTTTTCTATAAATTATCCTATTTTGAAAAAAAATAAAAATAATCAATCAATAATAACTTGATAATAATAAAATGATACAGATATCGATATAACAACAACACAGTTATTCAAGATACATTTTCAGTAATATACAAGCATTAACTTGGCACAAATGGCATTGTGAATTTGTCAGCCTTTTATTATTTCTGGTTTCACACAAGCGAAAGGCAATCCAATTAAGGTCTCCTTCAGTCTGAACCTCTTCAGTTGGAAGGTATTGCTCTTTGAAGGGAGTAAAGCACAGGGATGTGCAACTCATAATGGACCGCACTCAAGGAATCAAATTCCTGTTGGGTTTCCAAGACAACTCAGACCGACAAACCAGCTGGTTTTGATGCACAAAGCACACAGAATCCTACAGCTGCTGAGATGCCAGCAGAGATTTCAGAAGTTCACTCTGAGAAGAGAGCGAGAGGGGGGTGGGGGAGGGAACAGAAAGAATCGAGCAAAACTATGTTCTGAGCTTTTGAACCCTGCTGAATTAAACTTTTATTTAGGATGGTGGGTCTTCCGCATGGGAAACTGGTGAATCCATATATACTATACAATCCAGGCATCTTACTGTAACTACAGTAGACAAACTTTATCAGTCAAGCATCACCAGAGACCCAAAAGCTAAAGCAAAGCTAACAAAGTTCACTATAAAAAGAAAGTGTTTCTCATGTCTTTGTTTTTTCGGTTCTGTTGATGGCAGGTCATTCAGACAATCGCGGCTGTGGATAAAGATGATTTTGCCAATGGAAAGGGATTTTCCTTCTCTTTTCCTGGAGGAGTTCCTGCCAACCCTAACTTTACAATAAAAGACAATGAAGGTATGGATGTAGGATGCAAAAAAAACACATTTATTGTTTTATTTATTTGCATATTTTACAGTCAAGGAAAAACTGGAAATGTCAGGATGTTCATGATTTACAATACTTAAAAAAAATATATATTTGAAATGAACATGCATTTTTCTAGTTATTTTAACAGGTCTAAAATATTTCATCAGCTAGTTGTTCTTTGTGAGTGTAGTCTCTATAAAATGATATTTAAAAAATCCTTGTCTGGTAATCACAAACAACTGGAAAAGTCATTGAAATTCATTAGTCAAAATGTGTGGGAATCCTAATGGGCTTGTGTTAATGTGTGCAGTTTAATATTCTCTTCCATTACGACAAAAGGCACAAAGTAGCGTTCAGAAAATGTTCACTGTGCATGCCATTTTCATGCAAGCTATAATAATGAATTCACATATCCATGCTATTTAGGAAATTAAATATGTATTCATTTTCAAGGGAAAAAAATGGCTGCAGAAGTCTTCTTATATGATCAATAAACTTCCCTGTTGATGTTGACCAATATTTAGGTTATAATTAAATGTTGACCGCAAGCTTAAGAGAGACGATTGATGACAGTTTAGATGCAGACGGAAGTAAAATCCCTTATGCATGATTAATAAGTGCTGAGAAGTTAAATCAATGAGCTGTAATGGCATTTCTTTCAATAATCAATATCACCATAACACTGGAGTTGTTTATTGCTCTTGAGCTATTTCTTCTTGTTCAGTGTTTGTTTTGGGCGTATGTGTGACATGAAGAATATGGGTTTGTTTTCATTCATTGGCATTGATTTAAGTCAACATGCAATCAACCTTTTCACTTTCCAACTGTGTTTGGGTCGATTATTCACCATTTTTAAACCCTGCATTAACAAACCTATAGTGGTTTGCTAGTTTTAGCTGGTCTTCCAGTCTGGTCAAGCTAAAAAAAAGTACCCAAAACACCTCTAAACCAGCTAACAGACCAGAAAACCAGTTTATGCTAATTGCTAAATGTGTTTTTCAGCATCGGTTGTTCATTTAGACCCTCAACGAAGTGGCACCTTTATTCTTCGCTGTGGCAGTATTACTTCTTGTGAGTCTGTGGCTCCTTGGGTGAACTTTAAAGTGACTGGTGAAGTTTTTGTACTCTTCCAGCCACCGCATTTCCAAAATGCAGCTCAAGCATGGTCGGCATGATTTATTTCCCTCATCGCTGTCCCTAGCTGTCAAAGAGCACCGGTATTCCTTTAGAGGGATTATGGGTCTAACCTCGCACAGTAGTTCAGCCCTGTTACTGTCGAATGAATTACCAGCTCCCTAAACTCCTGAACCGACGGCTTTAATGCAATACTCACACAGATGGCTGCGGGCTGGAGGTTACCATGGAGACCGCTCTTATCCGAGGTGTGCTGCTCCTGGGTCCAAATCTGGACCCTGAAACCAGTAGGGGATTGAAGAAAGGATGGGGAAAAGGTGTTAGAAATCAGTTTCTGAAGGATATTTGATTGTTTTTCTTAAAGTTCATATTTATTTTAATTAGGGTTGCCAATTTAATTAATGAGAGCAGGCAAAATTCATAAGTTCAAAATCAGCTAATTGGAGGAAACATACGCCAATATATGTATTTTTCAAAGCTGTACTTCTTTTAACTTGACACAGCTTCTTAAAAAGGCTACTCTCATGGCGTAAGCTGCTGAAAAACAATGAGACTTGATAAAAGAAGCCAAAAATGTCACTTTGAAGCATTTGTACAATAATAAAAATTTTGCAGACAGATTACAAGAACACATCCAGATATACCTGATTACAAAGTGGACTGATATTAAACATTATATCAAATAAAACACAATATATTGAATTTTAAAGCTGTTTTTATCCATTCAAAGAGTTTAATTGCCTGGCAAAATTTTGGGGGGATATTGATATACACAATCAATTAATCTAATGAGCATAGCATATAATTAATTAGATTCGTTTCTTTAATTGATTAACAATTAGTCATTTTAATCTGCATGAACAGATGGATGTTTTAGAAGTTGTTATGTAATATTATGAAATTTTAGGAAATAAAGAAGTTAAAATCTATTTTAAACTACAGTTTTAAAGCTGTGTTTGTCCATTCAAAGAGTTTAAAGAGTTTAATTGCCTGGCAAAATCTTGGGGGGATATTGATATACACAATCAATTAATCTAATGAGCATAGCATATAATTAATTAGATTCATTTTTTTAATTGATTAACAATTAGTCATTTTAATCTGCATGAACAGATGGATGTTTTAGAAGTTATGTAATATTATGAAATTTTAGGAAATAAAGAAGTTAAAATCTATTTTAAACTACAGTTTTAAAGCTGTGTTTGTCCATTCAAAGAGTTTAATTGCCTGCCAAAATAATATTTGTTTTGGGACTTTTCTTAGCAAATATTGATACATATACATATATATACATATAAAAACAATCAATTAATCTAATGAGCATAGCATATAAATGGATTCATTTTTGATTAACAAATTATAATTTTAATCTGCATGAACAGATGTATGTTTTAGGGGTAGTGCGTGATACTGTTATGTAATATTTAGAGTGCAAATGTTGCTACTTTTAAAAGTAATTGCTGGTCAAGTTTTATCCCATGTCTAAAGATCAGTAGGGGAAAAACAGAAGACAGGCAGATCGATGTAATATTGGTAGACAGAATGACTTAGATAGTATCGTGAGTTGCATTCCTTTCCTATCGAGACGACTGCAGTATGGAGTTTACTTCATTTATCCAAGTGGTACTCAGTGCAAATCTCACTCTCTTTGTCTACTTCTCACATGGTTTCTCACTCTTTAATCTCTCTCCACTGGGACACGCCACTGTTTACTGGTCTAAGAATTATCAGCTCTTGCCACGGGTGGTCGATGTCGTGTGCGCTGCTCTTATTGTGTCTGTAGAGAGACTGCGAGTAAGTGAAGCCCCCTTGTCTACAAAGACCCAAAGTGCTTCAAATGTATTAATAATACCACTTTCCCATCTTTACAAGTGCTGTAAAAGAGCAAATGGGTCTTTATGGAGGTACTTTAGCTCTTTGTGTCTAAATGGCTGCTTTGTGGTGAAAAGTAAGCACATTTTAACACGGTGCCTTACTTTTGCACCTTTGACTTTTTAAGGCATTCAATGGAATTACCCAAGCACTGCAAAATAAATATAATTTCCCTCCATCTCCATTTCTGGATTTATAGGTGCAAATTTATTTGGAACGCAGTGAAGGGGAGGCTAAATGGACTAAATTATTGTCTGTTCACGTTTTGCTTTATGAACACTGTCTCTATGTGAATAACAATGTAAGACGGAGGGCCCCAGAGCACAAAGCGGGACCCTTGCACGGATATTCAGTTTGATTATGTTCTCTAGTCAATTGCGCTTTGTAGTGGAGCCGAGGGTAATTAGAAAGGTAATATTCATGAGCGAGCTTATGAATGGCATGGTCAAAAACATGCTGAAGGCATGCAAACTTGAAATCTCAGAATTATTGGCATGCTAATCAGATCCACCTATGCACACATATACACTCAAACACCATCTTATTAAAGGAACAGTACACCCAAAACTTGTCTTTATTATCTATTTATGTGCACACATGCACATACATAAATAAACAATGACAAGATTTGGATGAATAACTATATATAGTCAATATATTTGTCAGTAATTTTGAGAAAATATATATGCTTCTTTAAAAATGTAAATGATTTTAAAGCATATACCTTAATTTTTATTCTACAGAAGAATGCAAATGAGTTTGGAACAATATGAGGGTGAATAATACATAAAAGAGACTTTTAACTTCCCTTTAAGTGGAAATCTCTACCAAAAAATCCCCAAAATAATTTTACGTTTTTTTTTTCCCCACACCTCATTATTTCTCACTCCCATCTGCTATTGTTAGTTGTCTCTCTTTCTCTCACTCTCTGTCTATCCCTCCTTTTTCCCATCTGTCTCTGAAAGGCTCTCATCCTATTTCCATCAGCTTTCTACGCCTGTATTTTTAGGCCTTTAAGGAGACGTGATTCTCTGATTCTGCCTTGTTTTAATATGCAGTCAGCGTCTGAGAAGGCTCTTCTTATATTGGGTGTCAGTCGGTTGGTGGGCGTCTGGACAGGAAACCAGATAGACTGTAAACCAAGAGGTAACAAGAGAAATTAGTCATTATCCAGTAATTATGATCATTATTATGGTGATAAACATGATAAGGCCACTTCCTAAGAGGAGGATGATGATGGTAATGCAATACAGTCTGAAGATAACATAATGAGTAATAAGTGACCAGATGACCATGATGAAACATGTGGACAGGATATCTTTTCAATATAGTGCAAGTAAAAAGAGGAGGAGTCTAGAGGTGGTTCATAAGGCTCATATGATAGCTTTGTGTGAGAAAGAAACAGACATATAAGCCATCTTTCTCTTTTAACCTCAACATCTGGCCTAGTTTCTGTTGGTGCTTTTATAAAAGCTTGAAAGAGTAGCGATGTGTGATTCATGATCTTTATTTTGAGTTGAATCATTACAGTGAATCAGTTCACAAACCTGAATGATTCAGACTCAATTTAGTCATGTAGATTATTTAAGAATAACAACTTAAATTCTTCAGTGTAATGGATTGTAATTTAATTTCTGTTAGTTCACTTGATGACTACTGTGGGATCGAGTAGCTTCTGTTTGGTTAAACTGCAGTTTTTAAGTATCTTAATCTAATGTATCTAATGACCGTGATATTTATCAGTATGGAAATGAAGGCCGGTGGTCTGGATTACATCATGAGTGGTGCTTGAAGAAAAGAGCTCGGGGCATTTCTCTGTCTCCTCTCTCTCTCATTCACACATATATTGTTTGCCTTAGCTCTAGATGGCCCTCAGGCAAACAGCAGGATCTTCAGGCTGCCCACACCGCGGCCCTCAACACTTCTGCCTCCTATTGAGTTTAGCGCCTGCCGGTGCTCAGGAGAGAAGAGCTCTGCTTACA